CTAACTGCACAAGCAAACACCAGAGAAGATGCCAAGCTCAGCACACTGGGGTGGCTGGTTGGCTGGTTGGCTGGTTGGCTGGTTGGCTGGTTAGCTGGTTAGCTGGTTGGTTGGTTGGTTGGTTGGTTGGCTGGTTAGCTGGTTGGCTGGTTGGTTGGTTGGTTGGTTGGCTGGTTGGCTGGTTGGTTGGTTGGCTGAATGGTTGGCTGGTTAGTTGGTTGGTTGGTTAGTTGGTAGTTTGTTTGGTTGGTTTTTTTGAGACAGGGTTTCTCTGTGTAGGCCTGACTGTCCTGGAACTTGCTCTATAGACCAGTCTGGCCTCAACCTCAGAGAGCTCTGCCTGCTTCTGCCTCCTGAGTGCTGGGATTAGAGGTGTGAACCACCACTGGCCAGCCAGAGTGCTGAATGCTGACTAGCTTTACTGACAGGACCTCAGGTCTTCAGGGGAACATGTACGAATCCACTGTCCTCATCTCTGTCACAAACACTCAGAGTAGTGTGGTGCTGGGCTGCTGTATGCTGACTGGGCACGCACACTCAGAGCTGAGCCCTATGCTGACTGGGCACGCACACTCATGACTGAGCCGTGTGCTGACTGAGTACACACACTCATGACTGAGCCCTGTGCTGACTGGGCACACACACTCAGGACTGAGCTGTGTGCTGACTGGGCACGCACACTCATAACTGAGCCGTGTGCTGACTGGACACACACACGCTGGATGGAGGGGCGCTCACGGGCACGCACACTCAGGACTGAGAGGTGTTCACAGGAACGCACACGAAGGACGGAGGGGCACTCACAGACATGCACTCGCAGGATGGAGGGGCGCTCACGGGCACACACACTCAGGACAGAGCGGCACTCGCGTACGGTACCTGTGCCTCACTAAGGCCGAGCTCCAGCATCTCCAGGGACTTGCGGATCATGCTGGATTTCTCTTCCACCAGGTTGCTCTCATCGTCTCTCTTCAAGCACTTGAGCGTCTCCAGCAGACTCTGCAGGATGGAGTTGTGCTCGTTCTTCAGGGCTTCCAGCCCCTGGATCACCTGCTTGGTCTTAGAAATGATCTCATCCTGTGTTAGCTTCTCCAGCTTCTCTTCCTTTATGTACACCATTGTGGACATGTTGTCATACATTCTGCAAGAGAAAGAAAGGAGGTCAGACACAGCACTAAAATCTCTGTTGACGTCACATATTACAACAGCAAAGACTGACAACTTTAAATCACATTTGACAGAGCTGGAGAGACGGCTCAAAGGCTAAGAGCACTAGCTCTTAAAGAGAACCCGGATTCAGTTCTTGGCACCCACATGGCAGCTTACAATGATCTGTAACTCCAATTCCAGGGGATTCAATTCCCTCTTCCAAACTCTGCAGGCACTGTATAGACGTGGTACACAGACACACACACACACACAAATACACATAAAACAAAAGTAAGTATTTGTAAGAACGATTAGCCGGGCAGTGGTGGCGCACATCTTTAATCCCAGCACTCAGGAGCAGAAGCAGGTAGAAATGTGAGTTTGAGGTAGGCTTGGTCTAAAGTGAGATCCAGGATGGCCAAGGACCCTGTTTCAAAACTCCAAGAAAAACAAACAAACAAACAAAAACCAGCAGGGACTCCACCTCCCTCCACTGCAGGTACTGCTGGAAAACTTCAGATGAGAGATGCTGGACAGACAGGAGAGAAGCAGCAATGCACCCTGGGAATGGGTAAAAACAAGAGCAGTCTCAAAATAAAGATGGCTCCAGTTTCTGTATTGTCAACTTCTCTAGAAGAATGATTTGGGGCATAGCTAAGAAGACTACATTGCTTTTATAATCAATTGCCACAAATTTATTCATAGGTGCCAGGTGGTGGTAGCACACACCCTTAATCCCAGCAAACAGGATTCGGAGGCAGGTAGATCTCTGAGTTCAAGGCCAGCCTGGTCTACTCAGAGTTCCAGGATAGCCAGGGCCACACAAAGAGACCCAGTCTCAAAAAAGATCACACACACGCACACACCCCTCTTTCACTGCAGAACACAAGAAAGGACCAAAAAATAAATATATATATCAAGTCCAAGGTTTTTTTGTTTTGTTTTGTTTTAATGTATATGGAGTGCTCTAACTGCATGGATACCTGCATGCCAGCAGAGGATATCAGAACTCATTATAGATGATTGTGAGGCACCGTGTGGTTGCTGGGAATTGAACTCAGTGGAAGAGCAGACAGTGCTTTTAACCACTGAGCCATCTCACCAGCTCAAGGCCACTGTTGCAAACGTACACTGTGTGGCAAGACAGAAAGAGAGGATGCTGGCCATAAAATGACTGAGGCTCCCTGAGAGCAGGTGAGTGCTCTCCTGGCCTAGGTCCCAGTCCTGGTACACAGTGTATTTTACTGAAGGACTAAGTAAGACACTGCAGAGCAGATTTGTGGAGGATCCACCTGTAGATGTAAGCAGAGCACCAGGACTGGCAGGTGAGCTCACAAGCATATGGACGGTCCCTCACCCTCACCTGAGCCCAGGATTTAAAGTTCCCGTAACGAAGCATGAATGTCTGATCTTTCCCATACAAAATGAATCAGGCATTACACCGAAACTGACTCTCAAGCTAGGCACTGGAATACACCATTTGTAAGAGCCTGCCCTCAGGGACACAGAGGCCACAGGACAAGCTAAAAAACAGGCCCTGAGGCACTGCCCTGTCAGGGAGCACAGTGGGCTAAGGAGTAGCAGTCAATCCTATGGGGAGAACCAGTCTTATTAATAACACAGCAATTTCATAACAGAAAAACTTTGGGACAACAGAAGCTGAGCCTGAAGCCTGAAAAAGGCTGCTGGAGAACACAAAAGACCACTGAACAGTAAAGTCAAGCCAAGGCCCTGAGTTTCATCCCCCAGCATACAGACAAACAGACAGACAGACAGACAGGCACGCACGCACGCACGCACGCACGCACACACACTCGAGGGAGGGGGAGAGAAGAGATGAGACAGATAGCCAGAGGGAAGAGAGACTGAAGAGGGTGGGGGAAGCAAGAAGGAATTCCCAAGTATCCGAGCCACAGTGTTCCTGAGGAATGAGACAGGTGTGGGCATGAGACGGCTGAGTCTAGGGAGACAGGCACTAAGCTCGGCCTTCCTGAGACTCGGCAGTCAACACTCTCCCGTGTAGGGCTGTTAGGAGCATAGTCTCAGGGGCACCAGACACTGGCTCCTCAACAACTAGCCCAATCACCCAACCTGCTAAAAAGACTGAGACGCACTCCTGGTGAGCAACAGCCTGATTTTTGCAGACACGTTTCTCAAGACTGGACTCCCCACTTTTTGACTACCTTCCTTGCCAGATTACTCCAGCATTTTGTTAGATAGTCATTGTTTTTCCGGAAGCGAATTTTGCCTCCTTGTAAATTCTACCCAGAGTTCATTTCATTCTTCTAAATTATACAAGCAAGGCTCGAAGGCTAACACCTGCAACCCCAGCACACAGAGGCTGAGGCAAGAACGCTGCTATGAATCTGAGGCCTTCCTGAGCGACAGAATTTAACCACTCAAACAGTAAACAAACCCAAAATCACCCAGAACAGGAGGAGTGGGGTGGGGATATGGAAAGACGGCTGAGCAGTTAAAAGCACTGGTTCTTCACTCAGAGGACCTGAGTTCCATTCCAAGCACTATCATGGCAACTCACAAGTGTCTTTAACTCATCTCGGGGAATCTGACACCTTCTGGCCTCTCCAAGAACAGCACAAACACCACGCATATGCATGCATCTATGCACGCAAAAGCAGAGCATCCATACACATAAAAATGACAGTTACAAGAAAATGTAATTTTTTTTTTTTTTGGTTTTCGAGACAGGGTTTCTCTGTATAGTCCTGACTGTCCTGGAACTCACTCTGTAGACCAGGCTAGCCTCGAACTCTCTTACTCAGAAATCCATCTGCCTCTGCCTCCCAAGTGCTGGGATTAAAGGCGTGCGCCACCACCGCCCGGCAGAAAATGTAATTAAAACATTAAAAAAAAAAAAGTCATCCAGTGGGGTAGTGGTGATGTATGCTTTAGTCCCAGAACTTGGGAGGCAGAGGCAGGTGGATTTCTGAGTTATAGGCCAACCTGGGCTACAGAGTGAGTTCCAGGACAGCCAGAACTATACAGAGAAGCCCTGTCTCGAAAAAAAAAACAAAAAAAAAAAAACAAAAAAACAAACAAACAAAAAACAAAACAAAAACAAAAACCCCTAAGAACAAAACCCAAATCCCTGACAATGTGCTAGCGCCCGAATGACAGTGGAGCCTGACCAACTCCCCTTTGTTGCACTCAGCTGTCTCCATAGCACTAGTCACATCAGCCCTGCAGACACACCACCTCCCCATCACGGAAGGATGCCATCACAGCCCTGAAAAACCACACACAAACAAAGAGAGGCGGCCGGGGGACTGCAGAGACGCCTCAGCGGTTAAGAGCACTGGCTGCTCTTCCAAGAGGACCTGGGTTCAATTCCCAGCACCCATATGGCAGCTCACAACTCCGTAACTCTCCTGTTCCTGGTCCTGACACCCTCACGCAGACAGAAATACATGCAGGTAAAACACCAATGTATATAAAATCTAAAAATAATTAATTAACTAACTTGTTTTAAAAAGAAAGATAGAGAGCCAGATGGTGACACACATCTTTAATCCCAGCACTTGGGAGGCAGAGGCAGGTGGATCTCTAAGTTCAAGGCCAGCCTGGTCCACAGAGAGAGTTCCAGGACAGAAACCATGTCTCAGAAAAATAAAAACAAAACAGAACAAATCAATTCGGTATGTTCAGAAGTTCTATTCTTGGTCCATTGTTACATTAGTCTATTTTTTATTGTGGCAGAAAGATCCTTTCTGCATTTGAAGGTTTAAGAAAAGCCTTGAAGGTCTAGACTTCTAGCCATTAGACATTGATCCCCCAACCCTGCTGGCAAACAGAAAGCAGCATGAAATATGTGTTATTGTGACAGGTCTGTGTGCAGGGCAGTTATGTCGAGAAGAAGCCTTGGTGAGAGTGGCGGGGATTCAAGTCACATCACTGTCTCAGCTCTTCATGATGTAAGTGGAAACCAGGACAGTCAAGAAATGACCTGCCGGTTTATTTTCATAAAATACAAGTATGAAAATACCCCCAAAACTGTATAGCCTATGCCAGCCCCAACTCCATACATAGCTAATGAACTTGAACTTCTTTTGAAAAGGTTTACAAGTTCACATGCTCACACACACACAAACCACATACATGCAGGCCAGAGGACAACTTCTAGGAGTTGGTTCTCGCCTTCTACCATGGGTTGCAGGAATCAAACTCAGATTGTCAGGCAAGCATTTGCTGAACCATCTTGCCCAGCCTTGGCCTTGAATTAATGTTCATCTTACCTTCCGAGTGCTAAGATTACAAGTGTGTATCACCACACCCAGTTTATGGGGAGCTGGGATTGACCCCAGGGCTTCATACACGCTAGCCGAGTGTTCTGCCAACAGAACTACACTAACCCACTCCTTTTGAGAAAGCATCTCATTCTGTAGTCTAGACTGACTGAAACTCATGACAGTCATGGCAGTCCTCCTGCCTCAGCTTACAAACGTTGGGATCAAAGTGAGTCAGCAAACCTGGCCTCCTGTGTTTTAGGAACTTAATTCAAATATTGGACTTGTCATTAAAAATGGGGGGTTTTATGTAATGTGATTTATATCTCAACTGAAGAGAGAGAGAATGGTAGAAATTACCAGGTCTGAGTGAGTACACAGAGCAGAGGGTAGCTGGGAAATGACACATAAGCAGCCTGCAGTTCTAGGATACTGGGTAAATCCCAGCAAACACAGCAAAGATGAAGGTGCACGCTGGGGAAAGAGGGATAGACAGAGCATGGAGGCTCTTGTACAAGTCAGTAGACGCACACTGCATGGAAGATGCTCCCCAAAGCTCTGCATGTTCCCAGTGGACCCTCCAGAAACTAGGAGTACCCAGGAGAGGCTAAGATCACAGACAACCCATTGCACTATACACAGGACACATAGACAGTCACCCCGAACAGCACCAGGCACAAGTCAGAGGACAGTCTGAAGGCAGTAACTCATGCTATGTGTCTGGGGAAACAAATGACCAGTCTAGAAC